GGGAAAGACCTCCTGGCAGCTCTCTGTCCCAGGGAGTCTGTGTGGCACCGCGCTCCGTGCTGTGTGGGGGTGGCTTGTCGCACAGTGGATTGAGCCGTGAGCTGCTCATCTCAAGGTCCGAGGTTCAAACCCACCAGACTCCGGGGGAAGTGGAAGCGGCGTGCTGCCCCGCGGACAGCCTCGGGAATCCTAGGGATGCCGGTGAGCTGGGATCCACTGACCGCAGCAGTGCCCTGGGGTAGAGCCGAGAGCAAAGCCGAGACCTTGCGGGGTCTGCTGCTGGTGTGGACCCTGCCGAGTGCATTTCTGGCCCCGCGTGGTTTTGCCCTGAGGCGACCCTGTAGGACAGAGTGGAACTGCCCTACATAAAGCTTCTGAGGCTGGCCCCTGGCAGGAAGCAGACACTACACTTCTCTCCCCAGCGGTGGGGCCCAAGCCCTGCCCTTTGCTTAGCACCCAAGTGCCCCAGAATGTGCGCCCCCCATTTTGGGCCTTACCCCAAACCCCCACAGTCGTGTCCATTTCCCACTCTAGGTCACCCTACAGGACAGAGGGGAACAGCTCCTTGGGGTTTCCAAGGCTGGAAATCTTGATGGGAAGAGACTCACTTTTCTCCTGCAGGGCAGCTGAGCAGTTCAACCAAGGACCTTTCCTTAGGTGCCCAAGCCTCAACCCACTGCGCTTCGAGGCTCCTTCCAATGGAATTCCCCCTAATAGTTTCAAACTGGGGGTGTCAACCAACATGTTCCAAGTCTTCTTTCTTGTTCTTAGTTACTGTCCATGCTCGGGCTCCCAGTGGTAGGGCGCTTACATAACCCACTGCCATCAAGTCAATTCCAACTTGGACTGACCCTAGCGTTCAGGGTGGAACGGCCCCTGTGGGTTTTGGAGACTGTAATTCTTTACGGGAATAGCGCAGTCTTTCTCCCAAGTGGTTTTGAACGTCAGACTTTGCAGTTAGCAGCATAACTCGTAACCACTACCTCGGGTTTCTCAGACAGCTTCGCTTTCTCCTGTGCAATGACTGGTGGATTTGAGCCCCTGACCTTGTAGTTAGCAGCCTAACACCCACCCCACCCCCACGGCTCCGTGCGCCTTTGGGTAAGGGTTGCTACTGAGGGGCATCTCCTACCGCCAGCCTCTTGACAGCCCAGCACAGTTGATAATGATGGATGGATGGCCTGGATTCACACCCCAGAGCCACCATGTTTCCTTTGACTTCGCTCTCTGACCTAGCTCCGTGAAACTTCTTTTTGTATTCTCTGAAGAGGGACATAGAAGGACAGTGATCTGATGACTTAGAAGAGGTGAAGAAAAAAAACGGAGCAGGTGCTGTCAGCCATCCCAACAGATGAGTTTGAAAAATGTTTCCAAGAATGGAATCAAAGATTTGACAAGTGCATTAAGTGTAATGGAGAGTACTTTGAAGGTGCTAAGGTTGTTTTGTAAAAAAAAAAAAATTAATACATAGCTTTGAAAAAAATTCTGGTTTTTTTGGGTACCCCCTCATATATGATTTCTTGTGAATGTTTCCTTTAATGTCAAAATAATAGTTAATAAAAAGGGAAACAACAGTTAATAAAAAGGGAAACAGAAAAAAATCCACTCAAGAGTACATTATTGATGAGACCATTTCTTAGAACTGTGCTGCGGGCCTGACGCGATTTAATCAGCTCTTTGAACCTGCTGCAGAATCCTAGCTCTTCTACCAGACTCCCTGCCCCTGAATGGAGACTTGTAGTGATCCGATAGAACTGGGAGAACTGCCCCTGTGAGCTTCTAAGACTGTAACTGTTAATGGGAGTAGTTAATGGGAGCAGCTGGTGGTTTCGAACTGCTCATCTTGCAGACTGCAACCCCTTGCGACTAAGCTATCAGGGCTCCGGTAGCTTTTCTATGGGCTTCCCTATGTGTCCATGCTGGGAGTTCTTGTACAATCGTGGCTGATCTCTTACTGCAGGCAGCCTCCTGGGCACAATCTTCAGAATAAATTGGGAATTACTCCTGTATATGAATGAATGAATGAATCATAGCTTCTTGACTCACTTTGAGATCTAGTCTTTAAAGCCTGGTTTAAGTTAAGATTAAGGTCAGTACTTTCTATACAATGTTTCTATCCTAGAGGCATTGGCGGTTTTAAGACACCTGTTTCCTTTGTTTTTGTTTCCACTTGGTACAGGAGAGCTCCACTTCCTTGATGAGTAAAGCCTAGCTGCCTCGGGCTGTTAGAAGTGAAAATGTCTGCAATGTTAAGAAAGTCGCCAACACCCCTTCCGCCAACTCCAGCAGAGCCTGGCAGGATTCTGATCGTAAAGATAGAAGGGGAAGAGCAGGCCTGCGCTCAGGACTGTGGCCTCCACTGGACCAACTGCTACAGCCCAGAGGCCTTCCGCCAACAGTTCAGGCACTATGGCTACCAGAATGCGCCTGGGCCCCGGGAGGCTCTGAGCCGGCTCCGCCAGCTCTGCCATCTCTGGCTGAGACCCGAGGTGCACACCAAGGAGGAGATCCTGGAGCTGCTGGTGCTGGAGCAGTTCCTGGCTATCCTGCCCGAGGAGCTGCAGGCCTGGGTGCAGAAGCATCAACCGGAGAATGGAGACGAAGCTGTGATGGTGCTGGAGGAGGTGGAGCGAGAGTTTGATGCGCCAGCCGAGCAGGTAAGAAGGGCATCCTCGGGGATGTAGGACCAGGACCAGGACCAGGTCCGTGGCAGTGGCCGGTCACTGAGGACTAGAGTGATTCAATTGGGTGCGTTGGCTGGCAGTGTACTCACAGGTATCCCAGAAAATAGTCCCCCATTCTGCTTCCTTCTTCTCGCCCCTTTCCTTTGCCCCAGGGCATTTTCTTTCTTTCTTTTTTAATCGTTTATTAGGGGCTCATACAACTCTTATCACAATCCATACATACATCCATTTCGTAAAGCACATTTGTACATTCATTGCCCTCATCATTCTCAAAACATTTGCTCTCCACTTAAGCCCCTGGCATCAGCGCCTCAATTTTCCCCTCCCTTCCCCCTCCCCTCTCCCTCATGAACCCTTGATAATTTATAAATTATTATTTTGTCATATCTTGCACTGTCTGATGTCTCCCTTCACCCACTTTTCTGTTGTCTGTCCCCCAGGGAGGAGGTTATATGTAGATCCTTGTAATCGGTTCCCCCTTTCCAACCCACCTTCCTTCCACACTCCCGGGATCGCCACTCACACCACTGGTCCTAAAGGGATCATCTGCCCTGTATTCCCTGTGTTTCCAGTTCCTATCTGTACCAGTGTACATCCTCTGGTCTATCCAGATATGTAAGGTAGAATTGGGATCATGATAGTGAGGGGGTGGGGGGGAGCATTTAGGAACTAGAGGAAAGTTGTATGTTTCATCATTGCTAGATCACACCCTGACTGGCCCCAGGGCATTTTCTACAATGTTTCTTCTCTGTTGTTTTACCCTGAAGCTCAACTAAGGTTTGCCTTCTTTAACCTCAGTCACACTGGACTTTTTCAGGTCTTGTTTTTTGGACCAAGAGAAAACACATTTGCAGAGGCTGGAGCACCATGGCTAGTAACGCAGGAGTTACCGAGTAGCCGGTTCAAACCCAGCAAGAAGCAGCTCCCCTGGGCATCGTGGGAGCTCCATGCCTTGAGACGAAACGGTGAGGGCCAGATTCGCCGTGGTGGGCACAGGTGGCATTTCAGCCCAGCACACACACACCTGAGTTGCTGCTTGCAAGAGATCTCAAATCTCTCTTCCCATCTTGTCCCAAGGCAGGAACTCCCTCTGCCACTTCTGCCAAACGAACCCTAACCCGTGTCACTGTGTTGTTCTTGGCTCTTCCTCGCAGATGCTTAGAATCTTTTTGGCTGTTTAAATATGCCAGGGCTTCCAAAGCAGGCTTAAGCAGTTTACCCTTTTTCTTCCGTGAAATCTTATTTGGAGTTCCAATATGGAAAATAGACGCTGAGCTTAAGTGGAGAGTAAATGTTTGGGGAATGATGAGGGCAACGAATGTACAAATGTGCTTTACACAATTGACGGATGTTTGGATTGTGATAAGAATTGTATGAGCCCCTAATAAAATGATTAAAAAACAACAGCAACAAAAAAACAGACGATGACACAGCTACTTTGGCTGACGTAGGAGCAAGCACACCCAGCCCTAGCCTCAGCCCCCACCCTTCCACTTGGCCTCAGAAGAGCTCTGGAGCTTCCTCTCCCTTCCAACAGCCCCCGAGGCCCTTCTGCGGGACTCCAAGGTACACAGTTTAAAGACCACAGATCTGCAGCATGGCTTCCCTGTGGAACTCCTTGCTCGGTGCCCTCAGTACTGCCCAGAGACTTTGCTGTCTTGCAATGCCTTAAGTACGCTCCTCTACTCCCTTTACACCCCTTAACAGCTCCCAGCCTAGAAATGGACAGGGAGGGGAGCTACTCCAGCCTCAGAGGCTTTGTGCGGTTTTAAATGCTGCAGCAAGTTGGCCTCAAAGCTAGGTCCTGGGCTCCCACCCTTGGCAAGTAGTGTTCTGCCAGCCAATGTCCTCACAGAGGCCTTTACCACATTTTTAAAGATGTGTAGCCATGTTAAGGAGTCCTGGTAGTGTAGTGGTTACTCACTCGTTGGGCTGCTAACTGCAAAGTCAGCAGTTCTAAACCACCAGCTGATGCACGGGAGAAAAATGGGGCTTTCTACTCCCATGTAGTTGCAGTCTCAGAAACTCACAGGGCCACTTCTACCCTGTCTATAGGGCTGCTATAGGTGATAGTATCGACTTGATGGCAGTGAGTTTGTTTTGTAGCAATTTTAAACAGGTAGCAGAAGGCCTCAGGGTCTTGCAGTACATGGCCGAGAGTTTTAAACTAGGATTGCACGTTCGGATAACAGAACCATTTCTTCAGACCATTCTGCCTGATTTCTGTGGTCCGTGGTCACGTCTTTTCAAAGCCCCTGCATGCGACCTTGGTCTCTGTGTTATCAGTGATGACTCCAGGACTTTCAGAATGACATCACACCTAGGTCGCTTTGGATAATGAGCTATAAAAAATGAGCTTGAGACAGAAACCTTACCAGTTCTGAAACTGTTTCTACTTGAATGAGTATAAATGAACGTACCATATTTTTAAATAAATATGAGAGGTACATTTATTTTTTATTAATTTCTTAGATTTGGGGGGGAAGGGGAGTTGAAATCATATTTCTTAGGTGGTGTCACACTCTGCCCCTGCCTTTTCTTCTTCCTGAGCCACCTTCCTCACCTCGACCTTTGGACAAGGCCTGAAAGGGCTCAGACGAGCTCCTGTCATCAGCACGCTCAGGGTTCCCTCAGACTCTGTGCAGTCACCTCAGATGAGGGCATCTTCAGCTCCAGCTGCTTCATGTCCACAGCCCTGGACAAGACTGCTGTGCTCCCCCACCATCGTCTCAGTGTAAACTGCTGTCCCGCTATCCCGCGCTGAGGCTAACTGAATGATTCCGTCCGTTCAGACGTCCAAATGAAGTCTGACGAGCCACACCCAAACTATGGGTGCTGTTGGAGCTTCAGGGGGCCTGGTAGCCTGAGCCCAAAGGCCCTCTATCTAAGCGGATTTGTGTGCGGTCAGAATGGCTGAGGCCAATAAACAGCTGTGTGTGCTTTTTCATGGACACTACGTGTAGCAAAATGACAGCTCATTGGGCCATTCAGCTAGTGCGATGGAGCACACGCAGCGTGACTGGTTCACAGCACGAGTCCCCGGTGCTGCCACCCATCTTTGGAGCTGTCAGTTATCCCAGTCTTTTATCCTCCCTCTTTTTGCCTAAGGCGTCCTGGTGGCACAGTGCTTCTGTGTTAGGCTGCTAACTGCAAAGCCAGCAGTTCAAAACCACCAGCCGCTCTCTGGGAGGAAGCCAGGGCTCTCTCCTCCGGTAACGAATCAGTCTCAGAAACCCAGGGGCAGCCCGACCCTGTCCTTATGGAGTCCCTGAGGGTCAGAATCAACTCAGTGGCAGTAAGTTTGGGATGTTTTTTGGTCTTTTTGCCTAAGCTGTATTTTCCATATTTCTTTCCGACCTGTTGGTATTCTTCGGCCCCCTTCTTCGATGAATGATCCAGCCTTGGGTTTATTTGCGGATGCTCTATACTGAATTATGGTTATCATCACCGCTGCCACAGGTGACTCATTCATGGCGCTTCTGCTCCTTCAGTAATCTCTTAGGCTCTCTCTTTCCCTCCATCTTCTCCCCCCTGCCTCTGAGGTGTCTTTTTACCTTTCCTCGAGACTCTGCCTTTTCCACAGAGCCCTGCATCCTTATCATCGATGGGCTCCTCGGTGTGGAGTCTTTCCCTCAGCCTGGGTTCTCCAAACTCTCTCTTAGCAACTCCATCCTCACCAGGTGATGCTGTTTTATGAACTTGCTTGCTAGGAATCAATCCCTGTCTGTTTCCACTTAGATCTTTCGACTTCTCTTGCCTTTTTTCTTCTTCTTCTCCCCACCCCTTCCTCCTCCTCCTTTCCCCCTGAGCAGAGAACTAGAAGCCTGTACTTCTCTGTTTCTTATTTCAGACGCAGATCCCCAAACTGTAAGTGTGGAATCCGCTTCAAAGCAACAGCCGTCCACAGGCAGAGAGCGGCACCTCGATGTTTCTGCCGCCCTCCGGACGAATGCCGCTCCGAGTTTCACTCTTAGAGGGACCTGCGGACAAGCGGCCAGGTTTGAAAGAAGACAAGGAAACCCCGCTAGGAAAAAACAACACAGGTGTGACGAATGCGGGAAAAACTTCAGTCAGAGCTCAGCCCTCATCCTCCATCAGAGGATCCACAGCGGGGAGAAGCCGTATACCTGCAGCGAGTGTGCAAAGGCTTTCAGCCGGAGCGCAGTCCTTGTTCAGCATCGGAGAACCCACACCGGGGAAAAACCCTACACGTGCCACGAGTGTGGGAAAGCCTTCAGTCAGAGCTCAAATCTTTTCAGGCATAAGAAGAGACACACTAGGGAACAGGTCCCATCAGTGTCATGAGGGAATCGAAGCATGTCCTCAGTTGTTGTTGTGTTTTGTTGTTTTCCAACAAGAAGAAGACACGAGGCAGAAACTTTCCTTGGGTAAAAATCAGTGGTTTTACTGGACACCCATCGCCTTCCTTCACGGGTCAACAAAGCCACAGGGGAGAGTGTAGGATACTGTACATCCCTATTGTTTACTTTTCTGCTCAACCATCCAGGGTCAGCTCTCATGTTTGCGATTCCAAAGCCTGATTTAAATTTCCATCTCTGAGTAGTGCGGGGAAAGACATTCTCAGACAGGTGCTACTGTGTTCATTATTAACACAAATGCTAATTAGTATCGTCCTTGTTAGACAAGTGCATTTCTCCCCTGTTGAGAAGGGATGAGTGAGTTATACTCAGCAGAGAAATAGTTATTCACCTCCATTTCATAGTTTGAGCATTGAAAATCTAAAGACCAACAATTAGAGTGCTGTTTTTTGTTTATTCACTGATTTTTCCTATTCTGCCTTCAGTTACTAGATTCCAAATATTGAACTAGAATTAAAGAGACCCCAAATAATATGTACCTTCAGAGCCCCCACTGAAATTCCCAGGGTTGTCATGACGGAAGCTGGTAAACTAAGCGATTTCATCTCTTCTGAAAGTCCACAAAACTCTCCTCGCTATTGATGACATGAATTCGCCTTTTAGGATAAAACAATAATCTCCTTTCCAACGTGATTTGGAAACACTGAGAGTGAAGAATGTGCTGCCAGGGAGTGGCCGACACATAGGAATGTTTGATGGTTAAAAGGCATGCTCTCTGAGGGCTGTGAGGTTGATGATTAGCTCAACGTGAAGGAGAAAGATGAAACGTGGATCTGGGACACTGCAAAGACAGCACCGTGGAGAAGCTGCCACAGCTTAACGTGGCAGCTGACAAGCCGAGAGGTCCCATAGGTTAAATCAGCTTTGAATCCTTCAGGCATCAAAAGATCGCTTTTTCAGGGTCTTCTGCGTTCTCAGTAAGAGGACTTTTGAGACAGGTTGTCGTGAAATGAGATTCTGGCTTTTCGAAACTCCTGTACAGCGGAGGAAATCACTCAGTTGTACCTGAAAGAGCACACTGCAGTCCCTTACAAACTATTGTCAAGTCTAACCATTTTCATCAATAAGTGTTAAGACAACATTTTTAGATCGCCTTGAGAAACAAGTTTTGCTCATAATAAATCCAATTCCCTGTTTCACAACAAAATGACTGATTTGTATGTTATTAAAATTACTTTGATAGTGTATAGCTTAGGCTCTTTTTCCTACACATTCTTCCTAAAACAGTTATTCATTACAACTATACACTGTATTTCCCACAGTGCAACAGGTATCCACTACAGGATACAGAAAAACATCAGAAGTGAAAGGCCTTGGAAGGAAAGGGGGGAGGAGGCTCATAGTGTGCACTGTGCCTGACTGGACTCCTCATGACGGGTAACCATGGTGATCTCAGAAAGTACAACGCTAGCAGGTGCTGAGGGGTACTCCAGAAATAAGTGCAGGGTTAATGTGCTCATGTGGCTAAGATTCTTGATAAATATAGTAAGGGAAAAACCGAATGCACATTTTGCTTATATAATTTTCAGATTGTGATTGTGCTTCACAGCTTTGGTGAATGTAAATAGTCATTGGGCTTTGTATATTTTTCTGTTGTTAAAAATGTAGGAGTCATTTATTTGAGGCTCATTCTGTTTGTAATTTAGGAGGAGGAACAAGCCACCCAACAAAGCAGCAGATGCCTCACAGATCCCTGTACCATGACTTCCTGTTTATTTATGGAAAGTTTCTTAAGCAGTATGAGAATGGAAGGAAACCCTGGTGGCATAGTGGGTTATGCATCAGGCTGCTAACCACAAGATCAACAGTTTGAAACCAGCTGTTTCATGGGAGACGGATGAGGCTTTCTACTCCCATAAAAAGTTAACACATGGCCTGTCTGGATAGGACAGGCTGGATGAACAATCTGGAGGAGAAAACAA